TTTAGTTTAAAAATATATTTAAAAAAAAATATGTTAACCATTAATGTTCAATGAATCAAACTTCTCTAAGTTATAAATTATAAGGAATTCAGTTCGACAGGCCTGACTAACGGACATAATATAACGTTTTTTTTTTTTTTTTTGAAAGAAAAACAAGGGATGATCCATGTTCATAATATAAAAGATAATAACAGTATTAGATACAAAAGATGGACACGAAATGTATCATGTAGTTAGTAGATAGAAAATATGTTTCAGCTTAATAGGGACGTATGCCTTTCTTCTTTCAAATATCCATGAAGATGAGGAGTAGGCCTTGCCGTCACTCATCGTTGACACAGATATAAGAAAGAACCAAAGCCAGCCATACGTATATTAAGTTGAACATAGGTTCTATAGACTAACTGTTAAAAAACAAAAACTATAACAGAACATAGTAATCAAAACATATGTCTTCGGAGAAACCAATAGAAGAAACTGGAGCATGTTTATTCTATATTAAGCATTTGTCCTGCTGATTGGTTGAGTTTCCAGCCTTGCTGATAATCTCCTAGCTCCTGAACTTTTTCCAGCACCTGCCCACTCATATATAACAGAAACAGCTTGGTTGATAATGTCTTTATAGGAGAAGATTCTTTGATCAAAGATAAGCTTGTTTCTTGTAATCCAAATATTCCAACATATTGCAAAGAAAAATAAGCACCATAAATCTCCTTCAATCCCTCTTAAGTGTTCAATATCTTGGAACAAGTCCGAAAGAGACAGTGGCCATTGGAAAGACAAGGAATAAGATTTAAAATATGACCATACTTGCATAGCTAATGAACAGGAAAAGAAGAGATGATCTCTGCATTCAGGTTCCAGCCCACAGAATGAGCATAAAGTGTCCCCCTGCCAGCCTTTTACCAAAAGATTATCTTTCGTGTGCAACTTATTATTGAATAGAAGCCAGATAAAGAAGCAAACCTTGCTTGGGATGATAGAATTCCAAATTACTTTATAAATAGGTGATTTAATTCCTCGAGAAATGAGAAAATTGTAGAGAGATTTGACTGTGTATACTCCATTCGGTGTGAGTGACCATCTTGGAAGATCATGGAGGGTATTGATACTGCAAGAGTTAATGGTATTCATGAAATGTACTCTTTCAATCTAAGATGAAGGCGATATACATCTCCTAAGTAAAGGATGCCAAAGCCATGAATTATTGTCAAAGTATCCCTGGCTACATGCCAGAACATTGCTAGAGAGTGATAAAGTATACAGTGTAGGATATAAGCTAGCTAAGGAGTTAAACCCCATCCATTTATCCTCCCAGAATCTAATTTTGTCTCCTGAACCAAGTTTCCATATGACATGATGAAAGAATGCTTCCTTATGAGATAGAATTCCATTCCAGAAATATGAATTAGAATGATTAATTCTGAAATTTTGAATGCATGAGTTCCTGGCTTGATATAATTGTCGAAGAAAAGCACCTGTAGTAGAATTAATATCCAAGTATTTCCAGAGCCATTTGACTAAAAGGGAAGTGTTGAAAACAGATAAATCTTTGATCCCTAGTCCTCCTTCAGACTTTTTCAAGCATACTTTCTTCCAATTACTCAAACATTTGAAGGCATTTGTATTAGCCGTTCCTGTCCAGAGGAAGTTTTTTCTGATCTTGTCTAACTCTCTTATTAGCCAATTAGGCAATTTCTAAAAAGACATATAATATAAGGGTATTGAAGATAGGACTGAGTTTAAGAGCACAAGTCTACCACCAAAAGATAAATAATTTTTCTTCCATGAAGCCAATTTCTTGTGCATGTTATCTATGAGTGGTTGCCAGTCAGCCTTAGATAATTTTCCAAACTTAAGAGGCAATCCAAGATATTTTATGGGTGTTTGATCCACTCTACAGTTTAACATGGATGCAAGACGAGTACCTCTGTTTGTAATGTTACCAAAATAAAGCAACGAAGATTTTGAATAATTGATACCAAGGCCAGATAACTCTTCAAAAATATACAGGATAGTTTTAAGAATGGAAATATTATGATAGTCACTTTTGACCAAAAGCAGAGTATCATCCGCATATTGAAGAGATCTCAATGGATTTAGAGGCTCTTTGATTCCAAGCTCAGATAATAATCCCACTTCAACATTGCTTTTTATCATTCTATTGAGCACATCCACTGTAATATTAAATAACATAGGAGATAGCGGGTCACCCTGTTTAAGTCCTCTATGACAATTGAAAATTTTGGAAGGCTGTCCATTAACTAAGACTGCACAACTGGAAGAGGAAATAATGTGCTTAATCCACATACATCATCGATCACCAAAACCTCTGCCCTTAAGAAGAGATAACAGAAAGTGCCAATCTATAGAGTCAAAAGCTTTGGTAAAATCTATCTTGAACATGGCTACTTCTTTTTTCCTCTTTGAACAGAAGTGTATCGTCTCATTAGCGAGAAGAATAGAATCAAGGGTTGATTTGCCCTCTTGAAAAGCAGACTGAGTTGAGGCCACTAATTTTGGCATATAAGGGGCTAGTCTTGTTGCTAGGATTTTAGTGAAGATTTTAAAGATACAGTTTATCAAGCTGATAGGTCTAAAATCTTTCACCAAAGAATTGTCTTTGACTTTTGGAATAAGAGTGATAAAAACTTTGTGGATTCTATGTAAACTTGATGTATCAGAATAGATGAAATTCATGAGAGAAATAAGATCTGACTTGATAAGATTCCAAAAATTTTGATAAAAGATCATGGAGTATCCATCTGGACCCGGGGCTTTATTTGGTTTCATACCAAAAACAGCTGCCTTGATTTCATGTTCTGAGAAAGGGGTCTCTAAAGGTGAAAGATTAAGATCATTATCAGGGTATAAAGATGACCAATTTATAGATAAATTGCTGCTGTGGGAGTTACCAAATAAGTTGATGTAGTAATCCATAAAGGCTTTGGAAATATCTGATTGATTAGTAATCTCCTTATCTTGATGAGAAATAAGAGAAATATAGTTGGCTTTCTTATGGAAAGAGGCAGTTTTGTGGAAGAAAGTTGTGTTTGAATCACATTCCTGAAGCCATTGAACTCTAGATCTTTGATGCCAGTATGTTTCTTCTTCCTTCATAATTGATAAAAAGGATATTCTCAGAGCTTTTCTTGCTTCTATTTCAGTATCAGATAAAGATCTTTGCTCCTCTAGAATATCAAAATGATTGATTTTTGATAAGATATCAGATTTTCTAGAAGATATAGAGCCAAGAACATTTTTCTTCCACCATTTAATCCTTCTTTTGAGAAGATATAGTTTTTTAATAAAAATATCAACAGGAGTGCCTTGACATCGGAAGTCATTCCAGCAAGAATTCACAAAAGGAACAAAGTCAGAATTGTGAAACCAACTTTTCTCAAACCTGAATAAAGGAGGACCTGGTTTAATACCACCTGTGTCGAGGATAATAGGAAAGTGATCTGATCCTAATGAGGGTGGAGAAAATTGCAGACATGAAGGGAATTGTTTCTCCCAATTTGGGCACATGAGGAATCTATCTAATCTTGCCATAGATGGATTCAACCGCTGTTGTTATCTGGACATACATATAGATGTGAACATATATAATATAATCAGTCAAATGTTAGAAGTACATGGCTAAGAACGAGCCAGACGAAATTACTAGATGCAAATCATAAGTTGAAAGGAAAAGAAGCATACGGGTGAACAAATTCTAGAATTTCAAATAGTGATGAAACGGGAGGTTAAAGTAAGAGAATTGATTTATTGATCCACTTTTCAAATTTGCAAGTAGTCTCGAGGTCATTTCAAACATTATTTATTAAACGAATGGATTATTCAAGATATACAAACCGTTCTTTTTTAGACGACTTAATTTCTAACTTAATCTTGATTAAATGTTTATTGTCTCCTTGCCAACTTAGCACTTAAGGACTCAACGTTTGTCTTAGTTTCTCATGAAAAGATCGCGATAGCCAAATTAAAGACCCGGACCGGCCCATGTGGAATTTGGCTTGGTTCGATATAAGATAACAGAGAAGTTCGCACTTCTAGTTGTAGCTAATTGTTTCGTTGTAATTTCAATCATTTGACTGCGAATTTTTTTCACAAAAGAGATCTAAATATTTACAGTCAGCGGGCGGATCCGGAAGAGGACATGTGTCTATTTATTTAAAAAATAAAAGTATAATATTATAAGACTACAGTACCTTATGAGAATGGACTGGCTGCATTTTACTGTTGGAATTTTAAATGAGCTACCTCCCAACGGGCTAGTTCAAAATTGTTACTAATTTTTATACTGATTTTACGTATCTTAAAGCCTTGGGGTGCAATTTTAAATATTTATTAGGGGGGCAATTGTTAACATTGCAAAACTTTAGATGCAAATTTAGAACTATTTAAATGCATCCCCAGAATGTATATAAATCCGCCCCCGCTACAATTACAGCAAAATAAAAAGATAAGGTTATAATTTGCGACTTCGTACAAACCAAACGTCCTCGCGGTTTTCGCTCTCGTTTGCTTGCAATAGTTGGTCCTTTCCAAGGTCTTAGAGCAAGTGCATCAAGCTCCCAGTTGGAAGTCCTAGTCAGCAAGCTCTCAAGAGCTCTCAAGCATTTTAGAATTAAAAATTTAAAAAACAAGCCTTGGGAGGCCCTCCCTCTTTATGGAGCTCCAACAAGCTCCTAGTTAGGAGCTCCAACAATATCAAAAAAACCTCTCTTCTATTTTAATATTTTACCCATTACTTTCAATTATATTTAAACCTCTTGTATTTTATTTCTAAACCGTTGGATACGGCCTTCGAGGGAGTGCACACGGTCTTCGAGGTAACCCACGGTTTTCGAAGTAACACACACGGTCTTCGAGGTAACCCGCGGTCTTCGAGGTTGGGCACGAAGTTTGAGGTATCGCAAACTTTGACCGTCAACCGACTGATTCCTATAAAATTCGATGGCTTCTCTCCTCAACCCATCATCTCCCAGAATAAAATGTCTAGCTCATCTAGCTCTAGCGATGATGAAATGATGAAGACGTTCTTTCTTATGGGAGCTGCTGTCGTTGAGGAAGAAGTACAGGAGAAATGTTCAACTCCAGTTCAACATAAAAGATGTATCGTGCTCCATCAAAACCGACTGGAAGGCCACAATCGGTTGTTCCAAGATTATTTTGCTGACGCACCAACCTATCCTCTTCATTATTTTCGTCAAAGATTCAGAATGACGCGTTCGTTATTCCTTCGAATCCACGACGCAGTCGTCGAACATGACAAGTACTTCGTCCAAAAGAAGAATGGTGCTGGACAGTTAGGACTATCTAGTCTTCAAAAGATTACTGAAGCTATGTGGATGCTCGCATATGGAGCATCCGCTGACTCCGTTGACGACTACGTTCGGATCGGTAAAAGTACGTCGCTTGAGAGCGTGAAGAGGTTTGTTCGATCGATTATCAACATCTTTGGAGAGGAATACCTTCGTTCACCGACTAATGAAGACGTTGCACGCATGCTCGAGGAAGGTTCACAACGAAGTTTTCCTGGTATGCTTGGGAGCATCGACTGCATGCACTGGACATGGAAGAACTGTCCAACTGCCTGGCAAGGTATGTATACTAGACATTATCATGAACCTACAATTATTTTGGAGGCCGTAGCTAGCAAAGATCTTTGGATATGGCATATCTTCTTTGGACTTCCGGGGTCTCACAATGATCTAAATGTTCTACATCGTTCACCGGTTTTCGCACAACTTGCGGAGGGAAGAGCTTCACCGTGCAACTATACTGTCAATGGCCACGAGTATAATATGGGATACTATCTCGCCGACGGGATTTACCCAGAGTGGTCCACATTAGTGAAGACTATTCCAGCACCTCGAGGAAACAAGCATAAGTACTTTGCTCAACAACAAGAAAGCGCAAGTAAAGATGTTGAGCGAGCTTTTGGCGTGTTGCAAGCTTGATTTGCGATTGTTCGTGGACTAGGACGTTTCTGGCAACCTTGTGTGCTGCAAAACATCATGACAGCTTGCATCATAATGCATAACATGATCGTTGAAGATGAACGAGATTGTTAATTAGACAACAACTTCGACTTTACTGATTCGGTACCAATCGTTGAACCTTCTCATGTGTAGACGATGCCTCTAACTGAGTTCATCCAAAATCATCATCGGATCAGGAACGCGCAAACACACAAATCACTAAAAAATGATTTGATCGAGCATTTGTGGCAGCTCAAGGGATCCATCACCGAGGATTAAGTTTCTTTATGTCTAATGTAATTTCAGAAAAGGAGTTCAAGTTGTTGTACTACGCCAATTTTATTTTCAATAAAGTAGTTGTTTTTATTCAATGCTAAATTTTTCAACTTCAAGTACAATCATAAATCTAATACAAGATAATATTTGATAATTAGGGAGAACTAATGAGGATGCGATGCGAGTACAATATATGATAATTAGGAAGAACCCTTAGACATTCACCTCTCCAATATCTCTGCCTGACGCATTTCAAAGTATTTTCGTTGAACTGAATTGAGTGTTGAGAGATCCATCTTCATGATATCGTCATCTTGTTTCTTCTGTTTTAGCTCTATTTTTTTATTGGTGGTTTGCTTCATCCACGCGAAAGCCTCTCCCATGATGGACGCAGCGGACTCAGAGTTTTTCACATTTTGTTTCCTCTTGAGCTTTGCCGCTTTCCTCCCTTCAGGCCTTACTAACACATCATCCGAGTCAGTGTTCAACTCGATGGGGGTCACTGGCATGGAATTGTTTGGTGAGGAATCAGAGTTTGTGGTTCTTCTCGGTTCTGATCGAATCTTATTGTAAGTTTCCATTTGTTAGATCCACTTTTGATGATGACGCAACTCAACCCAGCATGATCGAATCTTATTGTAAGTTTCCATTTGTTAGATCCACTTTTGATGATGACGCAACTCAACCCAGCAATGGTCAAACACGAATGGTTTACCATAAAGAGATTGGTATATTTCTTTTGCTTCTGCAGTGTACACAAGAGTTAAATTTAGACTAATCAAACATAATTAAACATAGTTAAATTTAGAATATTTACCTGGTCAATAATTCCCGTACCAGATCTTTGTCTTTCTTCAATCTGAGCAACGCACTCGCAGAACTTGTTGACGGACAGTTGAATCGTTGACCAACGATGCATCATTTGGTTTGGTGTGCGGCTCGTTGGATCAGTGGAGTATTGGATAAAGTAGTCGTTAGCTCTGTGCCAAAACTTATCTTTGTTTTGCCCCGTACCTTGGATGGCGTCTTAGCTCGTGTTCAGCCAAGCAGACACAAGAAGCTTATCCTCGTGGACAGTCCAATTTTCGGACCGCGTGTAAGCCTTCTTCTTCCTTGTGGTCGGTGTTTCTTAGGATGACACTTGTTGTGTTGCTGATTGCGAGAACTCGATGGGGTTACCTTCTTCTACGACTTCTGTATAGAACGACGGGTATAAGGTTGATCCTTCACCGGTAAGGAGTTACAAATAATAGTTTTGTGAGGGATCCATGAGATTTGTAATTTGATAGGGAAATATAGAGTTTTTTTATGAGAGAGTTGTGTGGAATGATTTGTGTATTGAAGTGAAATGAATTTATAGATGATTTTTTACTGTTCATGCCAGTTTTTTTAATCCCAATAGCTAAATTTTTCAACGGCTGGATTTTTCACAACGGTACATTTTCAACTCAAATTTTCACCTCAAATATTTCAACGGCTAAATTTATAAATTTTTCAATGGGTATTATTTTCACCTCAAACAACGCACCCAATTAAAAAAAATCAAAAGACTTCATCTTCTCCCTTCAACAGACCCAACCCCACCCCTTCGACAGACCCAACCCCAACCCCAAATCCTCTCCCTTCGACAGACCCAACCCCACCCCTTCGACAGACCCAACCCCAACCCCAAATCCTCTCCATCGACGGCCCTTCGGCATGCGGAGGCCAGTCGGAGGCCTCTTCGCCACCATCATCTCCGACCCGACCCGAACGTCGCCATCATCTCCGACGTCGGCATGCGGAGGCCAGTCGCAGGCACCCCAGTCATCCATCATCTCCGAATCGAACGCCACTCATCAGTCTTCGACCCAACCCGAACGCCACCCATCATCTCCGCGAACGCCAGCATCTCCGGACTTGATTTTTGAGGGGGGGTTTTGTAAATATTTTTCTCAGTTGGGAGCTCCCAAGCGCTCCACAAATTTGTGGAGCGCTTGGGAGCTTCGAAGCTCTCCACCGCCACGTCAGCCTAAGGAGAGGGGCTTGATGAGGTGAAGCAGGAGACCACCGTCACGTAGGAGCTGAGAACAGGCTTGGGAGCTTGCTGCCCTTGCTCTTATGGGACATTAAAGCCTTCTATTATGACATCTCTTTAAAGATCAAGAAAGGAAAAATGTTTACCATTCAAATCAAAAGAATATTGTTTCTACCATGCTGTGTTTGGATGGAGGATAGAGAAGGGAAGAGTGAAGAAAATTTTTAGTTTTGTTTGGGAGTTTTATTGGGTGGGTGGAAGAGGAAAATGAGGGGAAATTACACCTACGTCCTTTAAAAGATTGTTTCATACGCATTTCTTCCTTCGCAATATAACGCATAAAACTACAAGTTCGTGTACTATTCTTCTTCAGAAATAAAACATTCATTGAAAAATCGCTAATATATGATGTAGAAATATAGTCAGCGATGTATTGTAATTTTTCTATTACACCTACGTCCTTTAAAAGAGAAAAAAAACATATCATATATGAGCATATAAAACTGCACCGAGGATGTGGGGGCAGGAAAGACTGCAAAATAGCCAGAGACGAGCCTCCAATTATACATTCGAACTCATCTAAATTTCAATTATACATGCTCCGTTGAATGAGAGGGGATATATGGAAGACATCTTCCGTTCTCCCAAGCAATATGACCCTAATAACTAGCACCAGCAACGCGTCGAACTCAAAGCAATTGATGTTAAGATTAGAAAAGAGCCAGCATTCATCATGAGCCCCCAATGGTGGCAAGTAAGGACTGGAGACCAAACACTAGGAAGAGTAATCCACTAGAGAGAGCCACCTATGTTTTAGCCAATAGTACATTGTTAGTTAATACTGATAATGTCAATCACACAATTCACCGAGAAGTTTGGCTGGCAACATAAGTATCAGCCCCTTACCATCTTCTCGGATATCTGAGAAGCCAAGCTCTTTCCCCCAAGAACAGCCGCAGTAGTGCACAATGCTTGTCCTCTACATCAATAAAACATGGATCACAAAGTAAGGAATAAGGATATATATTACAGAAAAGAGAAGAGGATGATTTGTTCATCATACAAAATTCCACCAAGGACAACGCCAAAAGGATTTGCATCTGCAGCCAACCCAATTGTAGCAATCTGAAGAGGAAAAGATGATTAAAGTCGATATTTTTTGCCACAACATTCACAAAATGAAATTAATATCAACAACAAGTACCTGACTTTTGTCACCCCATTCACCGAAGAAAGTGATGGAAAATGCCTACAGCGAAAAAGAAAGAAACACCGTAAAGAGATAAAAATGTAAAATGAAATAAAGCTTCACAAGAATTTTATGGATGATGTTTCCATGTGGTCATTATTCATTACCTGAAGGAAAATGGGTGAGAAGAATTGTGTGAGAAATCTCCTTCGTTGTTTCTTTGAATCATCTTCCTTCTACATATGATGAAAATAAAGGTAGGGTTAATGGTGTGAATCAACTATAATGAGCAGTACGCTGAGTGCGACAGATACGGACATACTGAATTGTAATATACCCTTCATTAAGGATCCATTTACTTCTAGAAACTGCGACACCTTCGGGTACAATTTTCAAGGCATCCATGACTACAGGCTCTATTTTTTGAGAGGAAACTACAAGTTCAAATTATAATTGAAAATACACTCAGGGAATGTAGGACTTTGAAACATGTATTGGTAAAGAATCAAATCCATTTAGGCAAGAAAATCATGATGCAGACACGAGCATAC